CGGTCCGGCGCTACTTGCCACTAAACCACGTCTGCCGTTGTAATCCAAGGAGTTGAAGACATAGCTTTTTACAAGAACTTGGATTCATTGTCATGAAAATTACACTTTCCATACCTTTTTGAGAAGTGGGCTGTGAAAACCACGTTTTCGAATTCCTTTTGCATGATTCCTGCAGGCATAATAGGGGGTGTGGTCGAACGGAGACTCTGAAAGGTGTTTCATACGTTCTTGTGGTGGACACCGCCGGTCCAATTATATCCCAGTGTGTGGTTACGATTACGAGCCGATTTGTCATTCAGCTCTATTTGTGCTTTCGGCTGCGCCGCGCGAAGATGAGTCGAAACCGGTGCTGACCGTGTTGACATTGGACTTCGAGTGATCGCTGTATTGTTTAAACTAGTGGACAGTAGCGGGGTATGATCAGGGAAGGTCGGCTAACATAGTCTGTAAAGGGGCAGAGCTGAGCGATCCAAGCAACGGGCCCGTGAGAATCAAGTGGAAGACTACAAAGAGTAGTTAGGCGAAAACACCAGAGAGCAGTCATTCAGTTTTTGATGTGACCTCCGTTGAGGCGGAGATGGTGTTGTGGAAAGTGGCACGCTTTCCACGCACGCGGTTCGGGTTCAAAGCTCGGATCGGCTCCCGCTTAGGTCAACCAAGCCTTCTACCTTGCGGGACAGTAAATCGGTAGCAGATTAATCTGACAACGGAGGAATAATGCGCTGACTTACCGTCTGCCATGCGCTATCCGCGCATTCTTGTACGGCCACATCGCCATTTCAATCAAGCCCACTATGATTCCGAGAGTTGGGAAGTGAGAATGCGTGCCGCCGTCCTTAAAAACGGACGACCAACGCAAACGCTTTATCTCAGCGGCTGCGACAGCGATTGTACCTGCATCGCATAATCGTGGCCCATATTTTGAGCAGGAAATGGGGTACTTTTTCGTATGCACAGGCACTCAACAGGGATCTATATAGGTCGAATAGAAACTTTCGGATCCCATTACGACCGGATCGTATGAGAAATGACCGAGTTACATTAGTTTTGACCGAGTTCTGTACTTGAATTGTAGCCGTCAAGGTAGTGCAGAAGGAATGTCTTAGAGGATTTATATCCTAACCTACGCGGACATCGTCGCCCGGCGCTAAGGGTTGGGGAAACAATTTTTCTCATCTTCCGACCCCTTCCCCCAAAAAAAGTCGCGTAAAGTGGCAGAGAGCGTCCTCGTTCGCATCGTTAAATATCAGCGGTAGAATTGTACGCGCCGACCCGAGTGTTGCGCGAGCAAGGGTGCTATCTGCAAAAATTGTAGTTCTGATTCTTACACGAAAAAAACTGCGATCTCGAACTTAGACAAATGATCGGCTAATTCGCTAGACGCTAATTTGAACGAGTTTTGCGGTGTACGCTAACCGCCTAGAAAAACTGCTCAAAAGCCGGAAAGGTAGTCCGATGTCCCAATGTGATGGATAGATTGTCAAGGCCAATAATTTTCACTTGCTTTTCGTGCCTTTTTAATTCCTCTCCTTAGCCACGCTTCTCGGCTGTTCTGGACCCGCCGTTTCACTATTGCCACCAGCGCGCGCCTTATTTAGTAGCCTTTATCAGCTCTTATCAGTTGTTATCACTTACTATCATCTGTCGCGAATGCCTCCTTTTCCTACCTTTCCACATGTTACTATAGGATAAACCTCTTGCAACGTTCGCTGTGAATATCATGAAGGCCATTTATCAGCTCTTAGCTGTTATCACTTCCTATCACCAACAATCGATCAAAATCCATCGTGCGCGATGGATGTCAGATTCTGCCCAAGGCCAAGGACTCAGGTTCTACCCCCGAGAGAGGTCAGGTACACTGACTTGCGCATCGATGGTCTCCCTCCCCGCTTCCCTCAAAGTCCCAAAGTCGTTTGTATATAGCAAAAGCATCGCTTCAGTGAAGCAATAACTGAGCGAAAGTGGAATGCGTGCACCGCAAACATCCATTGATTCTGTGCAGTCGATCTTTTCGCTCTTAACTAAAAAATAATTATCTTTCAGAATACGACCCCAAGGAAACCGTGAAAAACTCGAAGGTAGTCGTGTGTGCACATCTGTTATCCCCGGTGAACCTCAGGTGTGCTGCGTATTATTTCTTTACAGCTGATTTTATTTGTTTTGGGAGTGTTCGGCTTGGGGGGGGACATTGAATGGTAGCTAGCTAAGTTTGTTCAAGTCATCTTGTAAAAACCTGTAAAGTCCTGCGGTTCACTTGAACAATTTCGCAGCTTCACAGGAATTTACAGCTGTGACCAAGGTGCATAAGTCCAAAATGCCCCTCCAAGCCTGACCCACTATTTCTATTGCTATTGTTTTTGCATCTATCTGCTAGTAGTTGAGAGATGCAGTGGGTTAGGCTAGTGCGCACCCGTTCGTCTGCGTCCTCCCTAGCGTCAATCAAACTCATCCACTTCCCTCATCATACCCATCATCACACACTTTCTCGTTGAGAGGACGCAGACGAGTAGAAAACGGCATGGTCTCATTTCATTGCCAACAACCTCTTCCTTAACCACCTTGGCACCTTACTTATTTGATTATTTGATTGTTCCATGTTTTTATTCCTTTTTTTAATTTCTAGGTTACTATTGGCACTGACCGTTCATTCACTTATGACCATGTATTCGACCAAGCTACTCAACAAGCTGAAATCTATGATTCATGTATAGACAAACTAGTTAACGGTCTTTTTGATGGGTTCAATGCTACAGTTCTCGCTTATGGCCAGGTAGGTGTCCTTTCCAAGTTTTGTTTTCATGGACTTAGCTTAGGAGTGCGTTCATAGTTTGCGTCAGCGCCTTGAGTGTACAGCAGCGTTTTGGGCGTTTCGCGGGTAGTCGCTCCAAAAGCTGAATCGATATCTATGCCTTGCATGTCGATGAAAACGCTCAAAACGCTAGCATACCGCGCTCTTACTTGCCTCTTTTTACTACTACAGAAAGTTAATAATAATTTCCAAGTAGCTTAATATTTAGACGGGTTCTGGTAAAACTTACACTATGGGTACGGCTTTCGACACCGGTGCAATATCAGAGCATGAAGTGCGTACTTTTTTTCTTGATCAGGCTCTTGAACTTTGTTTTTCATGTTGTAACTTCATGGATATTTATTTTTTCTTTGAGGTCGGCGTTATTCCACGGGCCTTAGCTCATGTCTTCCGTAGGGTTTCGGATTTGAAACAAGAAGCTCGAGAAAGCGGCATTCTTGAGCCGACCTTTGATGTTGCCGTGCAATTTATAGAGGTGATTTTGCTTTTTTTTTACTAATTTTCATGAATTTCATTTGTTTTGTTTCTCACCGTGTTGGAACGGTTTTTATTTCCGACGATTCTTTCATTGACATAAGAGTCCTAGAGTATAGCAGCAATACGAATGATGGGGACGTTGGTAGTGGGTGATATAAAGCGATAACAACTGATAAAGGCTGATAGGTGACGTTGGAGGGTTGGAAGGTTAGTCTCAAAACACAGCGGTGATGTCGAATGGGGTGAGACGGGTACGTGACAAGAGAATCGTAACTCACTGATGGGCGTCGCGTGCGGCGTCGCACGCGCACGCGACGACAGTTCCTGGTCGTAGATGGCGACAACAGGCAATGTAGAATCGAAAGTAGTCATGAATGTCTACTATTTCGTAGCCCACGTGAAATCCGGTGCCCCAGTCGACCGGTCGTAGTTTACCGCGCGCGGCGGAGCTGCAGTCTACGATTCTGTTGCCTGTATCCCGGCTGAGACATGATAGCGGGTGATAGTAAATGATACTTGCTGATGACGTTCGAAGGTTGGTTAGTCTCAAGTCATTGCGGTAATGGCAAGTGTGGCGGAAACATTGATAAGGCACGATAGAAAAACTGAACGGGCGGTAAGGATTGATAAGGGGGTGGGAAGGCCAGTTCCCAGTACTGTGGTACTGCTGGATGAGACTGGAATATTGGTAGCGAGTGATAGTGAATGATAATCGCTGATAAGAGGCGCTGAAAGGTTAGCCCATGCCATTGCGATAATGCAGAATGTGACGGAGACATTGTCAGCCTGCGATAGCAAGTGATTACAACTGATAGAGCTGAGAAGGCCGTGGGGAGGTGAGTCAGAGTCATTGCGGTGATGCCGAATGAGAATGGTACTATGGTAGCGGGTGATAGTGAATGATATTTGCTGATAAGGGGCGTTGAGAGTTTAGTCCCAAGTCACTAATGTAATGCCGAGTTTGACAGGGACATTAGCAGCATGTGGTAGGAGGTGATAAGGGTCATTAGTAGTATGCTTCATACTTCAGTCATTTGCTACATATGAGTTTAACTTGTTGCAGCTCTACAACGAAGAGATCATTGATCTGTTGTCGAATGATCGTTCTTCCTCGCTAAACATACGTATACATGAGGATACTCGTGGTGAGATATATCTTCATGGTGTAGCGACCAAACAAGTACAGGATCTTCATTCGGTGAGCTCTTGTTTCCTAAAAATCTTCTTGTTTCTCTAACATATTTTTGTAGAACATATAGAATTTTTGCCATCAGTACTGTTGTACTGCGTGATCCTTCCTTGTATCGTGCCTACTTTGGAAAGGGTTTTGATTTAGCACGCGCTCAGTCGTTTTCCGTCTCCCGTCTACAAGGAAGGGGGTCACGAATTAGAACAGCACTGATGAAAAATTTTATGCTTTATAGAGTTTACCAGTGGTTTGCCCCTTCATTTATCTACGAATTTAAACTCAGAGCGTCGAGGGGTCACCTAAAAAGCCTTTCGGCTCTGTCCGGTTTGGGAGGGATAGTTAAAAGGACCAGCGAAGCTGCAAAGTGCCCCTCCGAAGCAGAACAGCGCTGGGTTTTATTTCCTCCAAGTTCTGTTGCCCCTTCATTGCACTATGTATCTTTAACGCTTTGCTGAATCATGTTAAGCAAACTTCTTGGTCAGTGACTAAAGCGAGCGAGGCTCAACTTTCGTTGAGTCGTAACTCCTTTGTTTTCCGCTCTATTTCAGTTTATCTTTGCATAATTCCCTGTTATGGGTCTGTATTATCACTTTCATCGGGAGAGACTTTAGCCATGTCATTGTTGGAGCAACAGGCGCATTCTTTCCAAGTCAGAGAGAGCAGGCGCAGTGTCTCGATGAGAGGATGCAGACGAGCAGACATAATGTGGTCAGCCGTGTTCTTACTTTGGACTGAGGAGATTCGGCAATACGGGAGACTCGACGTTTTGAGAGGTTGCGCCTTGAGAAAACTATAGGTATTGATCCGATGATTAGGGAGATTGAGCGATTCGCCGATTTGGGAGACTCGGCGGTACGGAATGGAAATCGCCGAATGTCCGCAATCGCTAAAGACTGGCGATGACCGATACCCATCCACTCCTTTGACGCCCAATCGCCGGAAACGTCAAGTCTCCCGGTTCGCGGAATCTCCTCA